TATTCTGCTATTAATTTTGATGCCTAAAATTTTTCACTCGAGTAAAAGAGATCGACGAAAAATATATCTCTATTTAACAAATAACTTAAACCACTGGCAATGGGAGAGAGAATCTATCATTTTTTTCGTTGGATTACAATTTAATATCTGTCTCAACACAATGAGTGATTAGAGTTACTGCTATTTCTCTCTCTCTCTCTCTCTCTCTCTCTCTCTCCTCAGATGTTTCATAACCATAATAACAATCGTTATAATAAAATGAATGCAATTTTCTCTCTCCCGGTAACAACACATACCCACATGTCTTAAGTGCTTATCATTTTTTCGGCACCAAAAATATGCATTCAATCGCCAAAACATATTACCAAAAACTTCAGCGCAAAAATTGCATTAAATTATGTTTTAAACCATAAATATTAGGGAATTTATATAGAAATATATTTTCCAACATATATTTGAATGGCGAGAATAAATTTAATTATAAAATAGATGGTCGAGAATAAAGTGCTAGGTCATTAAATCATACAGAGGTGTTGCTGTAGCGAAGGGTGCGCGCAGTAAATGATGGGCAATTATTTTTAATTTGCAAAATTCAATCATGATCATCACTACCACTTGCATTAATAATGTGTGTAATTTGTGTGATTTTTTTGGTGAAAAATATTTTATTTTTTCGTGTTATAAGTTATTAACAAAATATTTTGGATATATTTTTAACCTATGGTTAATTCACTTTCTCTATTTATTTCATGCATACTAACTGATGAATAGTGTATGAAATACTTTGTTTTAAATTATCATTTTAATATGTTTTAAAACTAATTTTATCAAATTAATTATCATTAGTGTACAGTAATTATTAACATTATTATCGATAAGTTATCGATAACTTAATTGACATGTGTTTGCACTGTAAGCCAGATTAGATTGTATGTTGTGCTAAAATAGCAATCAAAATTTGATGCAAAATTGCAATATTAATGAAACATTTGAAATAAATGTGCATAATTTTAACTTTTACATTTAATTATTTGATATGAACTTAAGTTATATATTATCATACTAATTTAAGTGAACAATCATTCATTTATTTAAAAGTTGTGTAAAAATATTTATAAATAACATAATGTTTAAAACTTGGTTTTAAAAATAACCAACTTTTAACAAAGTTTAAAAATTTCATATTTGAGATTATTACTCTAAAATTACAGGCATTGCCATCACAATTGGTATGCCATTAGTTACCAACACATTATCGTTAGTTTTCACCATAATATTCAACGCTATTTATTCACAAAACTGTAATTTCCATACGATTTATGTCTGCTTTTACTAAACACTAATATATCATAAAATTTATAAATTGCTGCAAAATATCTTACTCTCAAACACTGATGTGTTTTCCAATGGATATTAAATCAAAACATTTTTTATACAATTTATGGCTAAACTAGGAAACAGATTAAGTCTGTATTTTACAACAAATATATTAACACCTAAACTATCAAATGATAAATTGTTATTAATTTAAATATATTAAATCTATTGGGCGTTGTTTTGGGCCAATAAATGACATTAATTTATCTATTGATTCAGAAAAATCATTAAATTTTTTATTTATTTGTAAAAATATTTGTCGTTTAAATTTAAATTAAAACAAATAAAATGCTTTTAAAATAACAAACAAAATATGACTTACTTTTAGCTCAATTAATCTTAATAGCAAAGCGACAAAATATTTATTAAATAATTTGCTTTAAAAGTTTAATCTGGATAATTATAAAAACGTCGATTCTGTTATTAATTAACCATAATATTTACAGCAAATTATTCGCTAATAACTATATTTATATATCATTTATACACAAATAAAAACAAACAAACAAATTATGTCAATACAAAACACTAGTCATTAGATTAAATATCAGACTTATTAAACTAATAGTCGGGTTATGTATGTTGTGTTCATTCCCGGGGCTGTCATTAAAATAGATTTTTCAAAATTACACATAAAAATCAAATAAAAATCATTTGAATTTTGCGATCATTAATACGGTATCAGATTCTTCGTCGACGAGAAACCCCTGTTATCTCAAAGTCTGTCAATCCTTAAAATCTGGGCCTTTATTATCGGATACACTGACAACCCTTTCCCACCAGTATTTTCATTATACCCAACCATATCTATACACAACTCATTTAATGGATGGTTAGTTTGAATGTCTTTTAAATTTATTGCAAATTATATCTAAACATTTTTGTCTTGGAATTGATTTGGCGACAAAAGAAATACCACTTTTAAAATGTAGAATAAATTGGTTTTACATTTATTTTTATCGTAATTATTGATAATTATTGCCGATATTTAGGATGTCTTTTCAGACGACAAGCAAATCGTTTATTTAACTCATTTCTATTGCTCCGAGTTATGGGTTTTTGTATTAATGTTTTATCAATTCATGTTATAATTTCTCAAATATTTATTATTTATTTCAATTTTATCGTATAATAAGTGCATAGAAATACATATTAACCCCTTTTCTGTGAAATTATTGGAGAAATAGTATATTCTATAGCTTTTAAAATGTTGTAATTTATTAATATAACTATTGATATAATCAGTAATAAATAAATAAATTTTTAAAACATAAATTATATTAATAAAAATGATAAAATACTTATACATTGTATTAATTTAGATTAGATTAAAAGCAATAAATATTGATATCTAATTAAAACCAAATATATTTCAATAAAAATACTTATAAAAACTGCAGAAATTTAAAAGTATTAAAACCATTGTTTCAAAGTTATTGAAAAATCAAAGCAAACCCTACTTTGGATTTGGTATTTGATTTGTTATTGTATTCATTGAATTGATTAACAAAACAAAACCAATTTATCACTTTGTTTCTTTAAAATAGTAAAAATTTACTATTAATGCATTTCAATCGCCTGAATAAGCGTGAAGTTCATTAAATAATTTACAAAATACAATACAATGAAATTTTGTATACAAAATTAAAACACTTTTTGGACATTAATTTTGTTAAATCAGTCAACAAAAGACTTATAACTCAAAAAAGTACAAAATAATGAATGAAATGAGACTAAAGTGTTAAAAATAATCGTTGCCTTGAATTAAGTTAAACTCCATATAAAATCTCACATCAAATTCACACCAGATTTTGTCTCATAAAATATTTGTGATATATTTTTGTGCCTAAATTATAAATTGGTTGAAAACGTTCACATCCTATCTTGGTAAACACTATATGTTATAATATTAATAGAAGTTGCTGTGTCCTTAATTATTATTGACATTCATTTCCTAATTTACATACATTATCAACATCTCTCTCTCTCTCTCTCTCTCTCTCNCCGCTACTACCCTTCAGCCCATACTCACCACAGCGTGGAATAATCACAACAAAAATTATTACATAATTACAAACAAAAACTTCTATTAAAAGGAGTAATAAATTTCATTATAATTAGCATTTAAAGGAAGATTTTGTGAAACAATTTTCTACTAATTAAGTCATAACGAGAACCCATTGAAGAGTTGGTATTAATAATAATTATCATTTTTTTAATTATAGTGAAAGTTCTGTATAAATATTTGCCTAAAATAACAATAGATTTCTGTGATAAGAGATAAACAAATATTATTTCTAATTAAAATCAAAGGGAAAGCAAAATGATTATAATTGTCGTGTAATTAACTGGTCTTTCAGCTCAAAAATGTCTTTGAATTTCTTAATAAATGTAAAAATATATAAGATTTTTCAAATTAGTTGAGAAACGGTTAAAACTGTGTAATTGTAAGCATATATTATCGCATAACAAGATCTCATGTTTTTTAAAACAATATATTTAGATAAACCTTTGAAAACAAATTGATGTCTTCATTACAATTGTCATAAAATCCATTCAAACAGTGATTTATTGTGTTTTGCTTTCCTTTTTTGGGCACAAAATTAATAACTTTTGCATTTTCTCTGAATATTCAGATGAGAAGTACGGCTAAAGTTATACACAAATGTGTATTCATTTATATATTTTGCATAAAATTTGCAAATTTATAGCATTTTGTTATTTATATCATTATTACATGAAGTAAATGTATTTATAAATTATATTTTTATGAACCGAATAAATTGATTTATTAATTAATATTACAATCAATTAATTATATATAACAAAACACATTATAAATTGAATTGTATTTCAATATTGTTCTAAATATATGTTACAAATATAATCATAAATCTGTTTTATTTTTGTACACTATTTTTAATTGTGTTTTGAAAATTGCAACATGTATTTATCATGATTTTAATCATAAAATGTATTATTTATTAATAACAGATATCTAAATGAATAATTAATTATAAATATACAGTAATTGTAATTGTAAAATTATATTATAGCATTTTAATTTTGGTACTAAATAATAGTATTGTTTGTGATTTAAATCAGATCTAAATGTAATCAATCAATAAACTGTTAATATAATAACTAGTTTCATTTAATTTGTATGATATTTAATATGTAAAGGATCAATTGATATAAATTAAATAACAAAATTATTAGAAATATAGTGTATTTCATAGCAAATACAATACTAAATAGTGGTTTTACATAAAGTGCAAATTTTGATGTACAAAATTAAATCATGTTTATAATAAGGATTTAATACAATAATCTCAATTATCACAGTCCTGTTTCGTTAAGTCAAAGTTGTTTACCGAGATTCCCATTGAAGTCAAATTTTGCATTAATTGTGTCATTGTTTGGTTATTAATAGATGATATAGTTTTGTTTCGACCGTAAATCCACGCGTTTTCTGTCAATTAACATAAAGTAAATTAACTGTTAAATGAAATACCTATTAAGTGATGGCAAACCTTGTTTCACATTGAAGTACAAATCAGAGCACGAATACATCACCGCATATGAGGTATAATCTGTGGCCACAACCAAAATGTCCGCATTCATGGGCTTAACTATTATTGATATAAAACAATGGGCTTAATTTATACATAAATTTTATTAATAATTAATTCGGTTGCTTGGTAAAATAATGTTTACCACGAACTAGATAACTAAAATAAGTAATTAACTTACATTTAGGGAAAACGACCGACACATTGCTGGGATTGTTTGATTGAGGCGTTCCGTAGCCCTGATATACCACTGGATACTCACCGCTAAAATAAACAATTATTATTAATTTGTCACAAAAAATATATAGATTAATTAGTGACAATCATTTATTCACATATAGGTATAACCAGTATTAACTATATCGATAGTCCCGTTGGCCATCATTGTATAGTTAGCGGTTTGGCATTTGAATAGCGCTTCGTAAACGTCGGAGAATCTTTCCAATTCATACCACAGACCCATTAACTGAGATGTTTTTATTCAATATTAATTATACAATTATTGGCTATTATTAATACATACAGACTCTCCATTCATGTTACCCATTGATTGAATGGGTGGACAACTTTGTCCGAGTGAGCCGAGTACCGGGTGTATGCCAAAGATGATGGTAAAAAGCGAACCTATTGTTAACATTATCTGCATATTTAATATTTTAAAATTATTAGATTCTGAAGGTATTAACAGAACTATAAATGTTTTATATTTAAGATTTTTACTATACTTATATGTTATATGAAACTGCAAATCATTAATAAATTTCTATTAATTGTAGAAATAATTGAAATAAACACTAATAAATTATTAGTAATAATATTATTATAATCACAATGAATTTGTTAAATGAGACAGCAATTTATTGATAATGTCAAGTGAACTTCATATTTTTCCAATATAATATTATTGACAATAACTTTTTGCAAATAAATTAAATTGTTATGATTTCATCACATTTAGAAATTATTATAATTCATAAATTTAATGCAAATTCATATTATTTTTGTGACTCATTTAGGATATTTACAAAGTATTTTTTTCACATTTTAGAAATTATTTCACTAATAAAAACAATTATCAGATTTGTAATTTTAATTAAATGTCAAATTAATTGAAAATTTACTGTTTATTAATTAGAAAACAAAAAAATATAAAGGAAATATATCTTTCTATTGAATATATGCAATAAATTTCAAATATCTATTAAACAATTATCTACAAATGAATTTAGGATTTAATATACAAATTAACTAATATAAAACATGTTATTTTGATTTACAAGATAATAGCACTTCTTTTAGATGTCTGGCCATCCTTTGTCACAACACTACGAGTAGTGATGCGAGGATTTTGACTCTCAGATCCCATGTTATAAGTCTGAGTCTCGCTCTCCGGAGTCCGATCCTGACGTGAGACGAGCCTAATCTTCCTCTGGTTTGCTATTAGATTAAACAGAAATACAAAACAATCACTTGATATCATATTAAAGCGTACGACCTATTGATGCATACAAAGGACAAAGTTATAAATAACGGCGAAACACAACATAGCGACCAAAAGGGAGACCAGAATCAGTATTATAGCGCCAAACACTATATAACTGACGATATGGGATGTGGTGGTGAAGTTGCAGCCAAACAACTTCATCACATCCATGTCCAGCTAACAAACAAAACACATTCAAAATCATATAAAACACAATCAAATCATTAACAAAACTGTAAACCTTTTTAATGAGTTGGGGTTTTGGTTGTCCCCTATGGATGAGCTCGAAGAGAGTGGTGGGGCCGCGGGTCGGGTCCGTGTCGGCCCTCAACGGCTCGGCCGTCGCGTAATACACAAAGTTCTGGTCTTCGATGAGAGGGCTGTAGTCATAGGTCGGGTGCGCCAGAAATGCAGTATAAATATACTTGTCGTTCAGCTCAACGTATTTCCACATCCGATTGAATTGTCTGTATTTAAAGCTATTGTAATAAAGTCTGGCCTTTTGAACGCCTTGAGTGGGATGTGTCCACTGATTGATGATCACAAATATGGTCAGCGTTTTGAAGTCGTGAACGATTGGCAAATGCTTTCGCCGACTCTTCAACAGCCCGTCGATGGCCAACAGTTTCCCGATTTGATCCCGACGTTGGAGTGTATGGGAAGGGCTGTCGTCGACCACATATGATAGGGGAGAGGATATGCTATTTAGCGTAATATCCTCTCTCCACGTGAGCCCGTATTCAGTCCACGTCTGGTAGTGATAGTAGTCTATCATTTGGATGTCGTCGCGAAAGAGTATCATTTGAATGCCAGCCATCCTTTCCTTGTAATAAAGGCACGAATGGATGTCGACGTTTGGATCAAGTGTTGGATCGAATGGTTTTTCCGGATTTTTTGCTAAGTCTTTAGATTCATCTTCTTTTTGTTGATAATCATCGTNGAATGCCAGCCATCCTTTCCTTGTAATAAAGGCACGAATGGATGTCGACGTTTGGATCAAGTGTTGGATCGAATGGTTTTTCCGGATTTTTTGCTAAGTCTTTAGATTCATCTTCTTTTTGTTGATAATCATCGTAATCATCGGGTTCTGTACTAATCGTACCATCACTTTCTGTACCACTGTCTGTCCCACTGTCTGTCCCACTGTCTGTACCACTGTCTGTATCACCACTTGCGGTAAAAGCATCGGTACTACTTTCAACGGTTTGAGTGCTAACAACTAATACATGGGTTGTGGATGTGTTGGACGCTGTGGTGAGTATGGGCTGAAGGGTAGTAGCGGTGGAGACCTGGCGTTTAGAGACGCGCTTAACTTTACGGGAGACTGGGTTTAGGGCTTCACTGAAATAGGGTATGGAATCGACGGCTTCTGTATTGTTGCAGTCCTGGCCGTCGTAAAAGGGCTGATAAAAGCCGGCCAAATATCGGCCCTCTGTTTGCCATTTGTGTGGAAATAATTCATTGAATTAAATGTTTTTTGGTTTCTAATACAGAAATCGGTAATCATTTGACACTTACTTTCAATGATCTTCATGTTTATGTCGTGTGCATTGGTTGTGTCTCTCTTGCGGTCGTAATCAATGAGTTGTTTGACTTGAGGCCCGTCGCTCAGGTACCGGAACCCGTTGGCCACGAACTCGTAGTCGTAGTACTTGTCGTCGACGATCACGAAGAAGTGGTTATCGAAGAAGACTATGGCGTCGACATATGGTTTGTCGGCATTACATATGCGACTGTTTTCTATGTCCTCAATCACCTGAGCTCTCGTCGCAAACCACGCCATCGCTATTGAGATCACACGAAGAATATGGTATTTGTTTGACATTTTTATATGCAATCAATTTAATGGTATTTTAATGTCTGATAGTATTTAAATGTCTCGAGAAATTAAATGATAGTTATAATACAATTATTATAATTATGTAAACCTATTGTTCACTCGCAATGATAAGCATCGCATTGTTTTACCCGTAAATCACAACTAAAGCCAAGTTTACAAGTATTTAAATAAATCAATCATTTTTGGCATTACATTGAAATTAATTTTGAAACAGATTTTCACTTAAGATCACAAATAGTTTTATTTTAGTTTTTTTTGATTGAGAAAAATATGTTTCACTAATCAATCGCTTCATTCAAATCCCAAAATACACACAAATGAGATAAAAAACATGAATTCATTGATTTGATTGAGACTTTGCGTACTTGTTGTCCAACATCTGGATCTTAAGGCGATTGAGATTTGCGTGATGTTTGCAATTACACTGATTTGTCTGCAATTGTGGCACAAATGAGGCCACAGGTTGGGCACACTTTTGACACTTTATGGTCACCACTTGTGTCGAGTGATTGGACTGCAAGAGTTCAGACATCCAGCGCTGGGGCTCAATGAAGACACGACCGCACACGTGATTGCCAGCGATCTGATCCGCGTTCGCATTCTTCAGGACATGTATTTCGTGGAACAGCTTTTGGCCGCACTCTTTGCACACATACTTCAGGCCCAACTGGAGATTCGCCGTCGAGTTCTCGACATAAAGCAATCGCTCGAAGTATTGACTCAATTGGCGACAATCGGACGGCACAAACATTTTCAACAGATATTGTCTGAAACGGCGGTCGTTTGCATCCAATCGGCAGCCCATCCACTCGTATAGAGATAACTGTCGCTGAAAGCCTTCGTTGGGACTGATAATCGGACGTCCGGTGCGGACTAAAGTCATGGTCGCCGCGAATGTCATCCGAAGTTCGCGCATCAGATACGAGATGACAATCGTCGCCGATCTCGAGATACCGGCCGCGCAGTGAACCAAAACGCCGGTCTTCGCCCGCGTATACGAGCCGATGATGTCGTACGCGTCCACAAAGCGGGTCAACAGATCCTGATCTGTGTAATCGTCGGCCTCTATGTAGTGATACGTGATCTCATTGTACTTCTCTTTGGGCGCCAACGGCTCGTCCATAACCGTCAGTATCCCACGAATGCCCCGCTCTCTGAGCCCCTGTCTGTCTTGTGTGGCCTCAAAACANGTCAACAGATCCTGATCTGTGTAATCGTCGGCCTCTATGTAGTGATACGTGATCTCATTGTACTTCTCTTTGGGCGCCAACGGCTCGTCCATAACCGTCAGTATCCCACGAATGCCCCGCTCTCTGAGCCCCTGTCTGTCTTGTGTGGCCTCAAAACAGCCCAAATACAGTGTGCCGTAGATGTGGTTCATGTCTTCATATCCAGTGTTTCCAGTCGACGCCATGTGATGATTGTCTCAATAAACCAATCAATTCAGTGATCAATGAATATAATCTGAATTTAACTGTCGTTTTGATGACTTATTTAAATTTAAATCGACTTTTTGTGTGCTTTTATTGTCCAACAATTAAAGTCGAGATCAAATTGCGAGACAAAGACTAATTGAATGGCAAACAAAACAATTGATAATTGGATTTCAAATCTATAAAGCATTCAAACAATTAAACAGTTATTCAAAAGTTTACAAACAATTTATAAAATTAATAAATCGTTTGTGAAATCAAATACAAACCAAACTTCGAGATTATCTGCAGACAAAACGATGTGTCGTTTGTTGTCATTCGTGTTTTGTTGCCGAAGTAAAGTCAAGACTAAAGACAAGGAGTTGAAGTCGAGGAATAGTCGACTCATGAAGACATCGTCGACAGCGAAATCGCATTTATTTGACTCCAAGAATGACAACAAGAATCCGTTGACAGACAAACAGAGAGCGCGCGAAGAGTATCGCATTGAATACCGATTTGAGTCCAAACTGGAGTCCAAAGCGGACACCGACGCCAACCACGCCATCAGACTTAAGGAGAGGGGCTATGATATCATCGGCGGCGGTGTTGTCCGTCGGGGAGTCTTCTCCAAAGTGTTTTCAGTTGTTCGCCAAACGGATGGCCAGACAATGGGCTGCAAAGCCATCCAAAACCGTGAGATATGCGAGAGTTTGTCGCTGTTTAAAGAGGTGAAGTGGGAGATCATAATGACCAACGCCACCAACAGTCCCCGGTTTATGCATTTGATCCGCTATTTCAACGCCTTTATATATGACCGCAAATACGCCTACATTTTGATGGAAGAGTGTCCGACCGGTCAGAGTCTTCAGACACGGCTGAGCGCGAGGGCCGACGGTTTCCCCGAAGAGGAGGCGGCCGTCTATTTCCGACAGATAGCTTTGGCCATCAATTATCTCCACATCCAGACCATCGCTCACCGCAATCTCAAACTCGACAATGTGTTGATCTTTAAGACGCCCGACGGCCGCGATCTGCTCAAAGTGACCGACTATTGTCTGAACCGAGTGTCCAAAAAGTCCGATCGGGTTGTGGTCTACGAGAGAGACGCCAAACGTATCATTTATATGTCGCCACAGATACTCAAGTTTTACGCCAAACATCTCCGCAAGACCATCAGAGAGCGGGGCATTCGTGGGATACTGACGGTTATGGACGAGCCGTTGGCGCCCAAAGAGAAGTACAATGAGATCACGTATCACTACATAGAGGCCGACGATTACACAGATCAGGATCTGTTGACACGCTTTGTGGACGCGTACGACATCATCGGCACGTATACGCGGGCGAAGACCGGCGTTTTGGTTCACTGCGCGGCCGGTATCTCGAGATCGGCGACGATTGTCATCTCGTATCTGATGCGCGAACTCCGGATGACATTCGCGCAGACCATGACTTTAGTCCGCACCGGACGTCCGATTATCAGTCCCAACGAAGGCTTTCAGCGACAGTTATCTCTATACGAGTGGATGGGCTGTCGATTGGACGCAAACGACCGCCGATTCAGACAATATCTGTTGAAAATGTTTGTGCCGTCCGATTGTCGCCAATTGAGTCAATACTTCGAGCGATTGCTTTATGTCGAGAACTCGACTGCGAATCTCCAGTTGGGGCCGAAGTATGTGTGCAAAGAGTGCGGCCAAAAGCTGTTCCACGAAATACATGTCCTGAAGAATGCGAACGCGGATCAGATCGCTGGCAATCACGTGTGCGGTCGTGTCTTCATTGAGCCGCAGCGCTGGATCTCTGAACTCTTGCAGTCCAATCACTCGACACAAGTGGTGACCATAAAGTGTCAAAAGTGCGCTCAACCTGTGGCCACATTTGTGCCACAATTGCAGACAAATCAGTGTAATTGCAAACATCACGCAAATCTCAATCGCCTTAAGATCCAGATGTTGGACAACAAGTACGCAAAGTCTCAATCAAATCAATGAATTCATGTGTTTTTAAATCTCATTTCTGTGTATTTTGGGATTTGAATGAAGCGATTGATTAGTGAAACATATTTTTCTCAATCAAACAAAAAATAAAACTATTTGTGATCTTAAGTGAAAATCTGTTTCAAAATTAATTTCAATGTAATGCCAAAAATGATTGATTTGTTTAACTTAATTGTAAACTTGGCTTTAGTTTTGATTTACGGGTCAAACAATGCGATGTCTATTATTGCGAGTGAACAATAGGTTTACATAATTATAATAATTGCAATAATTGTGATATAAATAGCATTTAATTTCTCGAGACATTTAAATACTATTAAACATTAAAATACCATTAAATTGATTGCATATAAAAATGTCAAACAAATACCATATTCTTCGTGTGATCTCAATAGCGATGGCGTGGATCGCGACGAGAGCTCAGGTGATTGAGGACATTGAAAACAGTCGCATATGTAATGCCGACAAACCCTATGTCGACGCCATAGTCTTCTTCGATAACCACTTCTTCGTGATCGTCGACGACAAGTACTACGACTACGAGTTCGTGGCCAACGGGTTCCGGTACCTGAGCGACGGGCCTCAAGTCAGACAACTCATTGATTACGACCGCAAGAGGGACACAACCAATGCACACGACATAAACATGAAGATCATTGAAAGTAAGTGTCAAATGATTACCGATTTCTGTATTAGAAACCATAAAACGTTTAATTCAATGAATTATTTCCACACAAATGGCAAACAGAGGGCCGATATTTGGCCGGATTTTATCAGCCCTTTTACGACGGCCAGGACTGCAACAATACAGTAGCCGTCGATTCCATACCCTATTTCAGTGAAGCCCTGAACCCAGTCTCCCGTAATGTTAAGCGCGTCTCTAAACGCCAGGTTTCCACCGCTACTACCGGTCAGCCCGCACTCACCACAGCGTCCAACACATCCACAACCCATGGATTAGTTGTTAGCACTCAAACCGTTCAAAGAAGTACCGATGCTTTTACCGCAAGTGGTGATACAGACAGTGGTACAGACAGTGGTACAGAAAGTGGTACAGAAAGTGATGGTACGGTTAGTACAGAACTCGAGGATTACGACTATCAACAAAAAGAAGATGAATCTAAAGACTTAGCAAAAAATCCGGAAAAACCATTCGATCCAACACTTGATCCAAACGTCGACATCCATTCGTGCCTTTATTACAAGGAAAGGATGGCTGGCATTC